CAGCGGTGGCCCTAGCAGTTGGTTTGTTGAGAATTTAGAAGCTAGAAACCATAACCAGGAAACTCGAGCTATCTTCTTTGCGGTTTTTGGGTAATAGACGGCTGTTGAGCATAAGTAATGCGCCTTGTATCTCATTAAGGGGGGGCGGTTTGGTTTGGAAAGCCTGTTTCGGCGTTTCATTGGGGTTCATGAAGTTCAGGTCTAGTTAAGATCATATGTTAGAGTTTGGTAGGAGGAGCAGGCTCTTTGAGTTTTGGCGTTTGGTTAAAGGACCAACCACCCGAGGTGGAACTAGCGCAGACAGGGCAAGGGACACACAAAATCAACTCACCACCTATGCACAACCCATTTGTATACTACTAGACGATGTTGCCTGTGGCTCCCAACCTTGACGGAATCCCAGCGTTCTACCGCAAACCGCACCTTCTCAGACGCCCCAAACAAGGAGACATACAAACCCCTTTCCCCCTAAACACCTTGCCCGCCCGTCCCCATCACGACATACCTACCATACCTACTCCGTCCCACCACCGCCAAACCAAACGCCAAGAAAAAAAAAAAAAAAAAACACCGATACGATACTCCCCTCCACAACCCCGTATCGTATCCACACCACAACCAATAAGCACCCAAACAAGCCTGATTAGCATAGTGGCTAATGCGTAGCACTTGTATCTATGGTCCCCCTCCCTCCCTTTCTCGGAGGGGCCGCGACAGACAGACATGCAAAGATCACAGGTTCGATTCCTGTATTAGGCATGAGGTGGTTTATACACTTTTGTTTTCGTGTGATGCTATGCTCCCTTTTGTGGTGCGAGAGACAGTTGGATTATTGCTTTTCGACTTTTGTGGGAGGGATATGTCCCGTGGTTGGTGAAGGGCAGTCGTACTCGGGAAGATTGGGGGGAGGTAAGGAGAAGGGACATGTACGAAATGGTTTTGCTTGGATGTCTGACCTCAAGGGCAAGATGGGGGGATTGCAGAGGTTAGAATCCTCGAAACACTCAGTGCAATGCAATCTCAAGCACAGCCAAGTAGGGCAAGTATGTATGTATGTATGTTAAAAACAACCACAAAGAATATGTAATACTCAAACATGATCCATCACCCATCCCTCATCCCAGGTTTATCACCAGCTAGCCATCCAGCCCGCGCCCCCGAGCCAGGCCTCCTACTCTCCCACTCCAGCCAAAACCCAGCGCCAAAGCAGGCCGACCCGCCAATCCCTCGGTCAACGATTAGTCTTGGAGCAGCCGAAGTCAAGAAAATAGGGGTGCTCTTTCGTCCATCCGTCCATCCATCCATCCATCCACCCATCCAGGGCCGTCTTATTCACTTCTTTCCTGCTACCCCCC